AATTACACAACATACACAAAATATACAAAATATACAAAATATATAGAATATACAAAATATACAAAATATACAAAATATACAGAATATACAAAATATACAAAGTATGCAAAATATACAAAATATACAAAATATACAAAATATACAAAATATACAGAATATACAAAATATTCAATATATTCAAAATATACAGAATGTACAAAATATACAAAATATATAGAATATACAAAATATACAAAATATATAGAATATACAAAATATACAAAATATTTAAAATATACAAAATGTACAAAATATATAAAATATACAAAATATACAGAATGTACAAAATATACAAAATATACAGAATGTACGAAATATCCAAAATATTCAATATATTCAAAATATACAGAATATACAAAATATACAAGATGTACAAAATATATAAAATGTACAAAATATACAAAATATACAAACATATAGAATATACAAAATATATAAAATATACAACATATACAAAATATACAAAATGTAGAAAATGTACAAAATATACAAAANACAAACATATAGAATATACAAAATATATAAAATATACAACATATACAAAATATACAAAATGTAGAAAATGTACAAAATATACAAAATGTAGAAAATGTACAAAATATACAAAATGTAGAAAATGTACAAAATACACAAAATAAAGTACACCAAATACACATAATACACACAATACATGTATATATGTATACGTTGAATGATATTTCAAAATGAAATCGAACGAAACGTTGATTTAAAATTCATTCAAAATTGCTTCAAAATAAACAAATACAGACTAATACAATCTATCCAACACAATCCTGATACAACATATTATTTCCAGATACCGACATAGTCCACGACCTCCCGCCGCCATTGACGATCGAGGAAGAGGAACGCAGCTTGAAACGTAACTATCCCCCCTAGAAACACCATCCCCATCCCAGACACCCCGACCTCGTGTCCTAATCGCTCTAATCTCAATTTTAGACTTCGGTACCCTGGTGACCGGCCGCACGTCGCAAGCATTACGCCGCGACGAGCCGAGCCCGACCTCGATGTACAACAGCGCGTACAACTATTTAGCCACCGGTCGCTTCACCTTCCACCGGAAGAACCTCTACTACTCGTTCTACCTGTCGACGACGACTCCCCGTCCTCGAAGTATCCAGTTCGTGGACGGATCCGGGAGCATCCTCGAAGAGCAAACGATCGATCCGATCGGCGGGGTCTATCAGAACGCGACCGGCAAGCTCTGCGGGGTCTGGCGACGGGTTCCTCGGGACTACAGGAAGCTGTTACGAGAGGAACGTCTCCACGTGTCCTTCATATGGGAGCCATCGGCTACATTGACCGGCCAACTATCCCGCTACCGAGCCCTCTCGACCGAACAATTCTCTTCATTACTTGAACCAACGATGGGAGTCGACCGATCCCTGATGTCCGGCGCGGGAGCGACGGCCATAGTGTCGGCATCTTCAGCGTCGGCGCCATCGATCCACGTGTCTTTAGTCTTCAACGGCGTGTTCCTACCCAACGACGTATCCGAAGTGCCTCTAATCGTCCAGCTGGAGCACATGGAGAAGGACTACGTGGTGCTGCGCGAGGAGATCATAGTGAAGAAGCCGTCGAACGAGCTGAACTTCGGCGAGGTCCGTAGCGCCTTATCCGGCGCGGACCTGCGTCTTCTGACGCGCGGCAAGTTGTCGATCAGCATAATGTCGAGAAAGGACCCGCAGGCGCTTCGACTGGCCGGCATGGTGGGCCCCAGAGCGACCTGCGACATGTACCAGACGCTGCTCCAGTCGGAGACGCCTTCGGCCGCGTCCGGGATCGCGTGGGCCTTCCTGGACCGGGCCGGATCGCTGCGGTACGGCGTCCAGCTGATCGGCCTGGAAGAGGAGAGTCCTCTGGTTACTTTGGTGGACGAGGGCGGGAAACGGCGCACGGAGTTGGAGGATCTGACGCCGTCTCTGGTCGACGGCCTGGCGAACGGGTCCTTGGACCGGCCCGGGCCTCGCCTGCTGGAGCCGCTGTTCAACGAGGAGTTGTCCGTTGTTGCCGCATCCCACGTGGGCTCTATGCTGCGTGGAAAGCTGCTCCAGAGGCCCGTGGCCGACGCCAGGGACACCACCGCGCCGGTTTTGCTGAGGAGACTGTCCCAGGAGCCCGTCCATCCGGGCCCCGTCGGCCTGATCTGGACCGCCGTCGACCTGGACTGCTCGTTGCACTATGAACTGGAGATCGCGGGCTTTCCGCAGCTATCTTCTTCCTCCACCAGCAACCACGAGCCTCGCACCTTCCAGCTTTATTTGGAGACCATGCCGCTGCTCGCCCAAGGCGCTCCGGTTGCCAGGAGGCTGCTGGAAGAGTTCACCGGATACGTCCTCGAAGGATCCGTCACCGGGCTCTCGCCCGTCGAGCTCTACAGGATCGAGTCCGGCATCGGGTTCCTCGAGGTCACCGACAAGCAGTCCGACAGGATCCTGAAGGCGCCGTTCAAGGCCAGGGCGCCGCTCAGCTGTCTGCCGCACTACGCCGACAACGACATCGCGTCCGTTGTCGCGTACAATCTACCGCCCAGGTCCGACATCGAGACCGGCGCCTGCTTCCACGAGACCAGGTTCTACGAGGAGGGCACCCAATGGACATCCAACAGCGACCCTTGCTCCATGTGCCACTGCCATCGCAGTCTGGCGCAATGCGACCCGGTTCCTTGTCCCGTGCTCACGTGTCCACAGGCCAAGCAGCTCAAGGCTCCTGCCGGACACTGTTGTCCTATTTGTTCAGGTACGGGTTTTCCTTGCTTTCGCTCGGAGGAGCGTTCGTTTGTTGGATGTTTTGTTAGATTTTTAGGCTACGGTCGACGAGAATTTTGGCACACGATCTTCGTGGCTGAGGTGAGGATTGGGCGAGTTGCTTCGAATGAATTCGATTGAATGAATTCGAATGAATTCGAGATTGTTGTTCGAAGGAATTTTCGTTTTTTTATTTATTTGTTTGTTTTGTTTATTTAATTATTTATTTATTTATTTGGTTGAACGATTCTTTAGTCGAATAAATTATTCGAGTAGTTCTTTATTTGAATAATTATTTGGTTGAATGAGATTCTTTGGTCGAATAAATTAATCGAATAATTCTTTATTTGAATTATTATTTAGTCGATTAATTCATTATTCGAATAAATAATTCGTATAGTTCTTGATTCGAACAATTATTTAGTCGAATAATTCTTTATTTGAATATATAATTCTTATAGTTCTTGATTCGAATAATTATTTAGTCGAATAATTCTTGATTCGAATAAAAGATGATTCTTATAATTCTTGATTCGAATAAATTATTCTTATAATTCTTGATTCGAATAATTATTTAGTTGAATAATTCTTGATTCGAATAATTATTTAGTTGAATAATTCTTGATTCGAATAATTATTTAGTTGAATAATTCTTGATTCGAATAATTATTTAGTTGAATAATTCTTGATTCGAATAATTATTTAGTTGAATAATTCTTGATTCGAATAATTATTTAGTTGAATAATTCTTGATTCGAATAATTATTTAGTTGAATAATTCTTGATTCGAATAATTATTTAGTTGAATAATTCTTGATTCGAATAATTATTTAGTTGAATAATTCTTGATTCGAATAATTATTTAGTTGAATAATTCTTGATTCGAATAATTATTTAGTTGAATAATTCTTGATTCGAATAATTATTTAGTTGAATAATTCTTGATTCGAATAATTATTTAGTTGAATAATTCTTGATTCGAATAATTATTTAGTTGAATAATTCTTGATTCGAATAATTATTTAGTTGAATAATTCTTGATTCGAATAATTATTTAGTTGAATAATTCTTGATTCGAATAAATGATTCTTAAAATTCTCAATACGAATAATTATTCAATCGATTCACAAATTCTTCCTTCGTCATAAATTATTCTATTTAATCGAACGATTCTTT